TTAAGAGCTGTCTCTTTGATAATATTTATGAAATAACTAAACTTCTGAAAGCCTGTTTAAAGAAAAATGAGAGAAAACAAAATATACAAAATGCAGAATGAGACAGGAGATATAGCCAGAAACAAAAGAGAATAAAATAATCATAAGAGAATACTGTGTGTGTCTTTATGGCAATAAATTGAAAATCTCGAAAAGTGGTTCTCAACCCTGGCTGCACACTGTTATCACCTGAGGGGTTTGGAATATTACTGATGCCTGAGCGCCACTCCCAGAAATTCTCATTCAATTGGTCTGCGGTGTGGCCCAGGCACTGGGAAGTTCAAAGACTGCCCCACAGGATTCTGATGTTCGACCAAAATTGAGAAGCACTGAATTCTTAGAGGGCTTGGGCCATGTGGTCCGTGGACCAGCAGCATCAGCATCTCCAGGGAGCTTGCAAGAAACGCAGAATCACAGGCCCCACCCTTGGCCCATGGCATCAAAATGAGCATTTTCACAACATCCCCCAGGTGATGTGTATGCACATTAATATATGAGAAGTACTGATCGAGAGAAAATGGGCAATTCCAAGGGAAATATAGATACCAAAATTTACTTAAGAAGAAAAGCTGATGGACCAATTAATGTAGAAGAGATCAGAAAAGTAAAGACTTACCATTTATAGAGAGGCATTAGACCCAAATACTTTCACAACTGAGTTTTATCAAATCCTTAAAAATCAGATAGTGCCTCTGGTTTTTAAACCATTCCAGATTATAGAAAAGTTTCCAGGTTTATCATATGGAGCTAACGTTACACCAATATCTAAACCTGATGACAACAGTACAAAACAAGAAAACACCAGAATTACGAACATATGTACAAAAATTCTAAATAAAATACTAGCCAATTTAGGCAACAGTGTATTTAAAGAACAATAAAAATTGCCTAAGTAGGGTATTTTTATCCTAGAAAGGTGAGTATGACTTAACTTTAGAAAATCTATCAGTGTAATTCAAGATACTTCATTACATCAACAAATAAAAAGAGGAAATCAAGTAATTATATCAATAGGTGGCTAAAAGACATTTGATAATATTTTCATTCCTAATAAAATCTCTAAGTAAAATAATGGAAGGATACTAACCTTGGTAAACACTATTTTCCAAAATCAACGTTATGCTAAGTGGTTAAATACTGAAGTCCTGCCATTAAAGGCAGGAGTACACAGAAATGCCTGCCAGAATATATATTATTCAGCATTGTTTTAGAAGTTCTAGCTAACATATGATGCAAAAAGGAAATAATTGGCATCTTTTTGCAATATGACTGCACACAGAAATTCAAAAGATTACTAAAGCACAATTAGAATTGGGAAGTTAATGTGGTAAAGTAGCTGGGTACATGAAAAACATACAAAAATCAATAGCTTTTCTCTAAATACTAGCAGTATCTAGGTAGCTAAAAAATTATAATGTACTTATGAAAAGTATAGGACCTATATGAAGAAAGCAATAAAATTTTATTAAAGAATGTAAAACAAGACTAAAATAAATAGAGGAACATGGATGTGAAGACAATATGATAAAAATACCAGGCTCAATTTAATATTAAAAATTCATGCAATTTGAATAAAGTCCCAATAAATCTAAGGGAAACTGGGTAAAATGATCTTAATGTTTCTATGGAAGAATAAATGTCAAGAAAACTATGAAGAAGGAAAGGACTTGCCTTCTAGGTATTAGAGTTGACCACAGGGACTGTGAGTAAAACAATATGGCATCAGCAAAAGAACAGCAAATAGATTAGTAACACAGAATAGACTTCAGAAATAAACCCAAGGATCTATGAACTTAACAGGTAACAAGGCGTCATTTCAGTTCACGGGGTACAGGACGACCAGCTTAATAAACAGCACTGTAATAACTGGCTCTCTAACCAAGAGCAAGGAGAAATAAGACCCCTACCAAACAACATATACCAAAATAATTTTAATTGTATAAAAATCCAAATAAAATTAGAACAGTAAAAATATCAGAAGAAAAGCTAGGCATATATTTGTAGAACCTTAGGGTAGAAAAGACCTTTTTATAAGTAGGACAAGAAACTCCAGGAATCATAAAGAGAAAAAAATAAACATATTTGATTACACAAACATTAAAGATTTTTGTATATATAAACAATAACAAGATAAACCATAGACTAGAAAAATGTGCAGCAAATGTAGAAGAAAGCTAATAGGCCAAATATACAAAAGACTAAATAGAAAATGGGGCACGGGATTTGAACAGGTGATTCATCAAAGAGAAAACTCAAAGGGCTGCTAGGCATACGAAGGTATTACTTAACTCCACTAGGAGTCAGGTCAAGGCAGATTAAAACAATGATAGCGGGTCGGCCTGGTGGCACAGCGGTTAAGTTGGCACGTTCCGCTTCTTGGCAGCCCAGGGTTCGCTGGGTTCCCGGGTGCAGACATGGCACCGCATGACAAGCCATGCTGTGGTAGGCGTCCCATGCATAAAGTAGAGGAAGATGGACACGGATGTTAGCTCAGGGCCAGGCTTCCTCAGCAAAAAGAGGAGGATTGGCACCAGTTAGCTCAGGGCTAATCTTCCTCAAAAAAAACCAAACAAACAATGAGGGCATGTATAGATTCTTTTACCTGTGATATTGACTCTAGCACCCACTGTTTGTAAGAATGAGGGGAATGGGCCCTCCCCTATGTTGCTGTGACAGTGTGAATTGCTACAACCCTGAAAACCTCAACATCCAACAAATATTTCTTTAGCACCTGCTGTGCACCATGTTGTTGTAGGTGAACAGCAATGAACACACCATAAACATCCCTGCACTCCTAGAATTTACATCCTAACAAAAACTAATTTGCAATTATCTAGTCACATTTTTTAAAATAGCATATATCCTTTCACTTGGCAATCACATTTTGGGGGAGTCCAACTTATAGAAATCGAAGCACAAGTATGTAAGGATGATATGCACAAGGATAATTATTCCAGCATTCTCGTAGTGGCAGAAATCTGGAAACAACACAAATGTCTATCAAAGGGGAATGGTTGACTAAATTATGGGGAGTCCAATCTCTGGAAAGATATTTAGCTATCACAGAGAATGAGAGAGATCTCAGTCCACTGTCCCAGAGGGATGGATGTGATATATTAAGTGACTCGCACCGATATGTAACCTCATTTTGGTCAAACAATTTGAAATCTCGCCACATCTCCTCTTGCTCTCTGCACGACCCTACCTCTGTATAGGTTTGTATGAGCACGGAGGGAAGGCGCACAGTCTGTTAACTAGGATTACCTCAAGGAAACTGGCTTGGAGGAAGTGTGGGGGTGAGATCATTGTCTTTATACTTATTTTGCGTTGTACAACATTTGTTACAATAACGCGTATTTTTGCAATTGAAAAATCTAATAAAATTAAAACTCAGTAAAGATATTTTTTAAAGGGTAATAAAATTCTGGGTAATGGGATTGAGGGGGGAAAGCATTTTACTTTCTTCTCTGTACCATTCTGAATTTTCCATATTCTAAAAAGAATGTGCATTAAAAACTTTGTAAAGGCAACCAATAGATACGGAAATACTTGATGTTCGAAAAGAAAATCACTGAACATAGAATAGAATCGAGCTGTAGTCACAAGACAGATAAAAGATTTACGTGTATGGACTAAGACCGGAAAAGCACAAAAATGAACACCACTAATAAACCAAGTGGCATTGTGGGTGATCATTTTTCCAAATTTTGTCATGAAAACAGGGAATAAACGTAACTTGCAAGGTTTCCATCTTTGTATAGTAAGTATATTTGCTCTTTAAAAGTTCTTTTTCTGAAGAAAAATTAAAGCATACTGCCCTGGGAGAAACGGGGACTAAACCATTGGAAGTCTGTCACAACCACCACTTAAAAGGGGCAGTAAACGTCAATACAGGAAAACGGACACGAATATGCAAGGCTAAAGGCAAAAGCCTCACACTTTGCTAGTGGGATATGCCAGAGGGCAACCCAGAATTGGACTAACCCTTACGATGTTATGAGAACGGCCTAAGGGGACTCTTCTCTGCCCTCTGGGAGTCCCAGCCCGGGAGGGCTAGGGCGGACGCCGCAGCCGTTCTCTCCCACTTGCTTCTCCCACTTGCTCCGCATCTGTGGTAGGAGCCCGGGCGGTCTTTCTATAGCTCACGGAGGGTAAGGCGGGTGCCACAGCTTCGAGTGGCCGGCTGCATCGGTCAAGGCCTAGATTGGGAGAAAGAGATTCAGCCTCTGGGTCTCCCAGTCCAGACTCACTAGATGAAGTCACACACACCACTGGTGGTTTCCTGTGTCTATTCTCAATGTGGTTAGAACCCAGAGAGGAGGATGGGTGTCATCAGAACCTCCCAAACCCCAACAGACAGCTCTGCAATACCTCCCCTTATTTCAAAGCAGCTCAGGCCAAAGGAAATGGGTTCCGCATTTAAAGCCAAACCTAAGCATGAAGGAAAAGCAGAAACTGGCCTCTCGGAGAGCAAAAGAACATGGGTCTAGTTATTCTATTTTTGTCAATGTGTTTAGATATTTCTGTGGTAATTCACATCATGAATGCATAAATGCCTTATCTCAAATTCCTAAGCAGGTTTTCCATAGCAAAGTATTCTAGAGGCTTTAAAATATCAGGTCACAATGCCAAATCCTTTGTGTTCACCAATACCAGCAATACAAGTAACATGAGAGACCAAGCGAATAGGAAAAACCAAGTAAAGGAAAATAATTCTTGAATTTTACCTCGAACTTGGTAGACTAAGAATATCCATCTCAGAGGTCATGAAAATGATTTTAAAGTCCGAGCAGGTGCAGACGTCATACCTATACGCAACAGCAATACGTCACCAGTGTTAGCAGGGGTCGCATCACTTCCAGCTCATACCGTGTCAGGGATGTATTATCTGTGTGATTTAAGCGCCCTCATTTGTGTGTGTGTGTGTGCCTTGTCTATAGCCAACACTCCACTAGGGTAACTTAAAACAAAATAGGAATTTATTTACAATAGCAAAGATGTCAAAAATAACAGGAGTAATATATAACAAATCCAAGAAGTATTTTATGAAAAAGGCAAACAATATATACACAAAAGATAAAACAAAATCCAAAAGGGCAAACTTAATTTTGACCTTATCTAAACAGCTGAAGAATGTGGCAAAATGGTTTCTCAGATACGAATTACTTAAGTAACGCTGGGCCAATTAATTACACATACACACGCACGCATACATACTTTTCAGCCCTTCTCTTTCACTTACTCAATCTTCCTCTGAATTCTATTTACCTTTGAGGAATGTAACTTAGGGGAGGCCATGCAAGATTTCGGAAGTACACGCTACTTACATGTGTACCAAAGGATATACTTACTGACTGGCAGGCTCCCACTTTCAAAGGGGTCAACTGAGGGTAGAGCCCCATTTCATCTTCACTGCTTATTTCTGGGGTTTTGTGTGTGTGTGTGATTTTCTTGTCTACCACACAAAATGTTGCACCAGTAATCTTTTAAGTTCCTCGAGTGCTCTAAAACAGTGTTTCCCAAATGTGAGCATGCACCAGAATCATTGGAGGACATGCTAAGGCACAGATCACTGGGTCCCACCCCCAGTTTCCGGATTCAGTGAGTCTGGGGCAGGGCTGAGAATCTGCATCTTCAACCAAGTCCCAGGTGATCGTGATGCTGCCGCTGCTGCCTAGCCACTTTGAAAGAAAACCACTGCTCTCAAGCATCACCCCCCCTACGATTTAGACTGGTTAAGCTTTTCCTTACGTGAATCCTAGAATTTGTGAGAAATAAAGGAAGTTATTAATACTGAGATTCCCAGAGAACAGAGCAGTACATTATCTGACTGGTTAGGATCACAAACCGGTAAGATGTTATGTCAGGCATTATATTACAACTAAGTTTTTCATGCTATGGTTTTGTCTGATTTATGGCTCTGGACAGTGATGTTCACCATGTTCTCTTGACGGTTTACCTCAAGTTTTGATTATTTACTATTCCAAATTAGGCAAACACTTGTTCTGACATAGTTGAATTTAACTGCAGGATCTCATCTTTAAAAACCAAAGGTGGCTCAAACCCATCCTGTTATTCTCTTTTGACCCCTGATAACTTTACCTAACTTCTGATGTTTATCATGACACTGACTATTCTCTGGTATGTTAGTGCCCACTAAAGCCCTTCAAACTGGGCACAAAGGCGTAACTCCAGGGCAGGGCTTCTGCTGTGGAAGTGGGGACATCTCGCACTGATTAAACGTGCTGTAGATTGATACTGAAATGAACTTAAGTGCTCTCAAAAACCACTTTAGGCGTGGGAATTTTATCTCAGGGAAACTGGAGATGCTAATAAAACAAATCCTTTATGAAGATAAAAGAAAAAACAAATTTCAAGGACATGCTCATCAAAGGACTCACCAATCACCTCAACTTCTCTGAAATATTACTTGCAAATTCACAGGGCTGAAATATTATCAGTATTTGCATCCAAGTCACAAAATTCAAAGCAATCAAGCATTTTGCATTCCACTGCTGCATAAAAGGAATTAAGAAATGGGGAAATAAAAATACACTGCTTTTGATGTTTATTAGGTTTACAAAAACTGTACATTTTTTTCTTAAGAAAAAGCATTAACTTAGTACTGGTATCAAATAGACTAAACATTCATTAACAGGAAAATATTCTGATTTTTATTTTTGCACGTTATTCTCAAGTACACAATTACAATAATGTCACACATCCCTATATGATTTTCTTTTTATGTATTTTACTTTTTTTACAAAGTGTACAGAGGGAGGGACATACAATATTTAATAGGATATTTCTACAGAACAATAACTTATATTATGTCCTTGTAAAAATCTGTACCTCTTTAAAACATTTAACTGAAACATCCATTTTTTTAGCTTTGCTAATCAAAATTGTTTTAAGAATTAAAACTAGGTTGTAACTAATGTCAGTACATAACAGTGACTACAATTTCATTTTCTCTTTATACAGACAAATACATTTTATCATATTCACTTGACCAAACCCTTAAATACCTTTTAAAGGTTTCAATATTGTGCTTTAAAAAGAAAAGAACTGTGTATGATTCCAGACTATGTAAGAGAAATATAAAGTGTGTAAAGTGTTGTGTTCTTTATCTTTCAGTTTATTTAAAAAAATATAGTTAAATGACCAATTATTTATATTTTCTGTATTAATTTTACAAGACGTTTTAAAATTAATAAATTTCCACTTTCATTTAAGTGTATTACCTCATTTCTGGGAAAAATAAAAAGGAAGGGAGATTTTAAAGGTTCTCACAAAAAAACAGACAGAGCTTTCAAAGAATAGTACTGCAGGGCAATGAATCACGTAACTGTAAGTTACTTAAAAAAAAAAGCCATGTTATGGGGGCCAAGAGGGCACAGGAGTTCCCACTGGGATAAATCGATGCCTTGGCTTTGACTGGCATTCAGGTTGGAGCCCATACCAGCCTAAAGCACTTGATTTAGAACTGGACTAAATCACCTAGCACTTCACAGGCTTGCCAAACACCAAATATTTAGATCTCTAACTCTATAAATATCAGTCTTCAATATAAGTATCAATGGCAAAAAGAAGGATGAAAGGTAAAAACCTAACAGCATGAAGAGGCTAGGGTACCATAATGAAGTGGCAAGGCAGCTAACAAGTAGAAAGGAAAGTCCTAAATCGCCCACAGTGTGCCAGATACTCATGTGCCGATAGCCAATTTAAGGGACCCCCAAAACTGTTTTCTGTTCTCCAAGATTCATCTTAACATAAATAAATTCTAAATAACAAGAGCTCGTTTTATGAATTTATGAGCCTGATTCAGAACTGTTTGTTAAAAAATGTCAACTCTCAAAGAAAAAACTGTGAAAAGACTTGGTGACATTCCAAATAAGGCCTCAGATTTTCCTCATGCACTTAAAACACACCTTTATCTTCTAATCAAAGCCAACATGAGTGTTTTTTAAAGTTTGCTAACTGTAACTAAGAAATAATAGAGCAGGCTGAACTTGCCAAGTGTGTCATAATTAGCACCCATTCTCTGGTACATGAAGCCATCGCTTCCTTAGTCCCCCTCACTTGGTGACACAGAGTTCCCTCATGGGCTTCTCAGAGAGAAGTGAGGGAGTTACGTCTGGATACTCACTAGCTTTTCAGAAAAATATAAAGGCATGGAGCTGAAGTTGTATGAAAACATCCTATCTAGAAACATCTTAACTTCTATTTTTCCATTACCAAAGATATTTAAAAGAAAATACCTTTATTCTTTAAAAATACTAGTGTCCTTATTTTCCTTCTAATTCTTCACCTGAGTAGTCTCTCTGAAGAGCATGACTTACAAAATGCTCTCTCATGCATCCCTGCATCTTTCATGTTATTGTAAATTTAATACTTTTCATTATAGATTTTAAACAACTACTACTTGGGGTTGTGTGTATAAATATGTAAATAAGCAATACACACAGATACATGTTATATATATGTGCATATATATAATTCAGGGTACATTTACATATATAAAGTTGCAAAAGATCCTATGAGCCACGAATTACCTCTAGGTGATTCCAAAATGCAGTCCTCAATAAGTCTCATTTGTAGTACACAACCATTCCAAGACAAGGCAGCACAGACAGAATAATCAAAATACAACAGGATCAAGCAAAATTTTTCAATAAAGTTTTCTAAAAGTTTGCTATGCTGACAAAAGATGTAAATACTCCAAAGAAAGCCCCCCAAAAAGTGTATTTTGTCTGCTCAACAAAATGAAAAGTAAACACGAACCCAGCCACTGCTCTTTACTCAGTGATGCCAGGGACGCAAAAGCTCAAATGGAAACTGTCATTGTCATGTGGTCTGAAAATGTAAGCAAGACGAGTAAATGATTTCCATGTTAGGATAATTAGACCTGACCGTAAAATCTCCCATTTATGTTAGTAGATGTCTCTGACAATTTTATTGTGAGAAATTTATGGGGGGGGGAAAATGAGTCAACACGAATACTTTTGTAGTTACCAATCTAAAGTTACCTTATGTTAAATGGTCTTAGAAGAGTACCATCAAGGTAAGCAAGGTAAATATTTAAATAAATATAAAACTTCTAAGATAGAAAAATTCCATATAGAATCAGGGATTACTTTATTAAAAGCAACTTGCTTGTTGCTGCTCTTCCCCATTTATTAAACAAACTGAATAGAATTCAGAACACACTATTGAACAAAATGTAAAAAAAAAAAAAAAAGGTCAACTAGAAGCAATAATTCTATTTGTACACAGCATAAATCAATATACAGTATTGTATGTGAACGAGACTGGTTGGCTTTAAAATGAATTTTCTGTTTTAAGGCCAACATCTCTACAAATGTCTGCAGAAGTATTGTTAGGGCAGGCCAACTTCTTTATGATGTCGCATTATGTGCTGGTTCTTTTCTGAAGGCCTTCGGAACCCTTTCTTGCAGTACTCACAACGGTGAGGATAGTCTTTCGTATGAATGGAAATGACGTGCCGTTTAAAGCCTGAGGCATCTGTAGTGCTATACTCACAGTACTCACACTGATACACTTTCCGGCCACTGTGTGTCTTCATATGCTTTTTAAGCTCATTCTGTTGCCTAAATCCCTTTCGACATCTCTTACACCTAAACGGAAGATCTTTTGTGTGAACTGAGAGAATATGGCGACTTAGAACAAATGGATCTGCAATCTTAAAGTCACAATGTCTACACTGGTGCATTTTTTTACCCTTGTGGGCAGCCACATGTTTCTTGAGTTCCGAAGGCCTGTGAAAGCCTTTATCACACATGTCACACTTATGGGGGTAGTCCTTTGTGTGAACTGAAATTATGTGTCGTTTCAAATCACTTGAGTTCGAACTCTTGTGGTCGCAATGCAAACACTGGTGTGTTTTGCTTTCTTGGTGGATAAGAGCATGTTGCTGCACCTCTTTGGTATCTGAGAAAGTCAGAAGACAGATGTCACACTTGAATGGCATCTCTTTACTATGCTTAGTTTTTACATGCGTTTTCAAGTTAGAAGAGTCTGCAGACCTATATTCGCAGTACTGGCATTGGTACGGCTTCTCCCCAGTGTGGATTCGCATGTGCTTTTTGAGCTCTGACGGGTGCCGAAAACCTTTACCGCATTCTACGCAAATATGAGGGAAGTTCTTGCTGTGGACTGCCAAAAGGTGGCGATTCAATAACCCTTGTTCAGCTGTCTCATATTCACAGAATTTACACTTGTGCATTTTGTTGGCTCCTTTTTCCTTATGCACCATTTTGTGAGTAAACAAAGCCCCAGCATGAGAGAAATGCTTCCCACACTCATCACACTCGATGGCCTTCTCTGCCTTGCTGGTCAGCTTGTGGCTCTCCAGGTGGTTGTGTAAACTTATCTTCTTGTTGGTGGTGTAGTCACAGTCAGTACAGCGGTACTTCTTCTTGGTAAGGTGTTCAGGATGGTTTTTCATGTGCCTTTTCAAAAAACCTCTCGATTTAAACTTTTTCCCACAAATCATACAAGGATAGACAGTTAAGGGATGTCCATCAGGGCCAATAATTATTGCTAAGAAAGGAAAAGAAAGGAGCATGAGTGATCAAATCAAGTTCTGTTTTGGTTTCTTCAAGAATTTAAAGTGTGTGTTCTGGACATTACTGAGCAAGTACTCCTAAGTTAGGCTATTTGCTACTTAACATTCCTTTTACCATTTTTCAACATAAGAGAAATAGCAACCTCATCATAAAGAGAACTTCGTCTGGAAACTTTATTCATAGTTTTGTGATCACAATTTCTGCTTTGGTTATTCCAAAAACCATAATTTACGTCAATTTATAGTAAAGCTTAAATTTTAATATGCAAATCAGTATACAAGAATAGACAGGAATGTGTCACATGAACTGAAATACTTGTCCTGCTGCTCTGTAAATTATGCCTGCTTTATGCTGACATAATCAGATTCTTAAATATATGATTTAGTTTAAAAAAGTTAATATTGCAACATATTTGAGGGATTTCTTTTCATTTCCACATAAAAATCACCTGAATTTTGAATTTTTTTCATCCATGTTTGATCCATTTCCTGTTTCTTTTTATCCAAGGAAATCATTCATGAATATCACTGAATTCTTAAAATTATATTTTCAAATTCAATACACAAAAGCTACACGTGGTCTAGCAGCTAAAATGCCATCCCAACACCTCTGTGGATACATACTAGAGTTTCATCTGAGAGCTCGAAAAGCACGCTGCGCTGTGGACTCGTGCGCCCTCACCTGTTTGGTACTGCCTGGAATCAGGTCTTCTCCTTTTCTTTGGTTTTTGTTTAGCCAGTCTGCCGAGCCCAGCAGACTCATCTATGTGCAAGAGGGCACTTGCAGTGCCATTCCGGTTTTCAATTCCATCAGAATTATTACCTAACAATGCGCATTAAAAAACAAAATTATACAGTATTATAAATTATAATGAATTAGGGATTGTTTACTAACTATAACAACGAAAAGTAAGCCATGATACTCATGAATGACAGAAATTCCCCATTCTAGGTAATGGGTTTATGACATTTATTATAGCATGACTGTAGGAAATGCCTAGCTTCCAAATCTAAAAAACACATGTCAGCGTTTTGCCCCATGGACTCCCTTGTTGTTTCCCAAAATTGTAAAGTCCTGGGCCAGATATAATCAAGATGAAAAGTTTCAGCTTGAAAGCCTGTGTACTTCTTGCAGTACTTCCTTCTACGTAATAAACACATGAAGGAAATTCCTGTTAAAAATAAAGACAAAAAGTAGACTTTATAATCTTCCTCTACTCTTGTTCAAATCAAATAACCCTTCCAGGGTTACTGGTATTTCAGATTTCTTAAACCTAAGACCACAGAAACTGTTTTCCTATCATGAATTCATGATCAAGAACCAACTCAATCCTAAGAGCTGCTCTGTGACTCACCGTAAGCGGCTGCCCATGCTATTGGCATGAAGGTCTTGATTTCATTGTCATCGATTTGCTGTTCATGCACGGCAGCAGCTGCTGCTGCTGCAGCAGCATCCTCCTCTCCTACAATCACTTCCATATAAACTTCATCAGCAATCTCAGCAACGTCTAGGTAGAAAATTACATAAATTTTTGTGACTAGGTTTACAGAGATCACAGGAAAGATATTTTCATTTGAATTCAGTTAATAAACAAGTAGAAAGAAGGTTCAAATATTATATACCTAGAACACAGCTTTCACGCAGTAAGCGTTCAATAAATATTTGTTGAATGAATCATTTCTTGGCTTTCACCATAATTTGTTTCTAAAACAACATTCTAAGTATACATAACGGGTCACTGGGAATATCCCAGCATAATCATCTCTACAATAACGCTACTTGTTTCCCTCAAATACTGGCCATATTAAAAAAAAAAAAAAAAAGCTACAGGAACATAAAATTTTCTCCCACAAAAAGGCCACCTACTTACTTAAATCTTCATCTTCTTGCTGAGAGTCGTTGACAGTCATATAAACCATCTTTTCCCTTGGCACACGAATACTGCTATTCTGATCAAGTAGTTCAACTCCATGATCATTCTCAGGCTCACTCTCCACAATGTCTACGGTGCCGCCTATCAGAGAAGATGACATATCCAAGGATTTATGTAAAAATTTCATTTCCAACTGTTTCACTTATTACATCTCACATACTTTTCTATTGCTACATTGGAATCCTTGTTTAAAAGTTATCTTCAGAAAAGATTTCAAATGTTCTCAATTTAAACCACCCAAAAGTAATCAGGTTGAAGTGCTTGGATCAGGATGTATAACATACCGAAGGTTTCCTCTTACCTAAGTCATCTTCTCCAGGGTCAGCTTTAAAAATGTACACCTTGATGACTTCAGGGCAAGTGCCATCTACTTTACAAGGATCGATTTCCGACTCTGCATCCATGGTCATTCCAGAGGAACCGTCGTGTTCTATTTTACCAGCATCATCCACTAAAAAGGCAGGAAACACATTACAAATAATAATAGCAGATACTTAAATAAATGTTACCATTTTCAAAAGCCCTTTTTACAAATATCATCTCTAACTTGATTCACATAAAATTGGATGATTTTGCCTAGACAAGCAGACATGCAGGGTATGGTGGGAAATATGGCTGACTGCTAAGCCAAAGCCAGGTCACAGAAGGCCTTGTGCAACCAGGCAGAGGGGCTCAGAGACTTGATCCTGGTAGGCTGGAGGTTTCTCAATCTGGTCAGGTATCAAAAATCTCTTAGGGAATCTAAAAACACAGGCCCCAACCCACCAGTACTAGAGAATCAGAATCTGCAGGGCTGGGATCTGATAATACAGACAGATTTAGAGGTACCTTGCCCAAGGATCCTGATCAGAGTTTTGAGAACCTCTGTTGGAGGTGCTGGGAGACTTTTAAGCAGAGCAGTGACAAGCTCAGATGGTCATTTTTGCTACACCATGCTGGCAATAATGCAGCATGAACACAAGTCAAGGAGGAATGTCTGTACTGACCGTAGTAACCTGGAAGTCACTGATGTTCCCAGTGAAAAGCAGTGTAGTGAAGGCTGTATGGGGTCAGATTAAGGTGGGTTGAGGATTTAATGGAAGCTGTGAATTTCTTCAATCTAATTTTAAGATGGAGAACAAAGGGGCAGTAACTAGAATGGGTTGTAGGGTCAAGGAGTTTTCTGTTTAATTGATAAAAATACTCACGCAAGCTCAGTCTGTGAGAGAAAATAGAAAGTGCAAGGCTGAAGCCAAAGAACATGGTGAAATTTCTGGATCAAGATGTCAGAAGAAAAGGGGGAAGACAAAAGTAGGCACAACGCTGAAGGAATTTTCCTTCAGTAGGAGAAATACACTATTCTTCTGAGACTTGAGGGGGTAAACATGGATGAGAATGAAGCTACACTGTGTTTAGGGAAGGGGAGAAGGCTGTAATGCAGAACATCGGAGGAGTTCATGGCTGGTGGCTCCAGCCGGGGCTATGAAATAGGAGGCAAGGGCTTTGGTTACCAGTGAGAGAATGGCAGACTGGGCTAAGAGCTTGAGATGCTAGAAAAAATGAGCTGAAGTAAGACAAGCTTAACAAAATGAAGGTTCCAAGAGATCAGCTGGTTAAACTCTTCGTAGTTTACAAAAAGAGAGGTTCCCTGAACCCTGAACATAACTACCCAAATTCAAGTATCTTGACTATGCTTTATAAAAATGGTTTGTAGGGGGAAAGAATTGGCACTATATCCTTATTTCTGGCCTGATTTGTACTTATGCTTTTCAAAGCTAAATATTTCTATGACATACTCAGCTGACTACGCCAATGTTATTTTCTTAAAGGTGGGTTTTGAATTTCAAACTGAGGTCGTATGAGAAGGACGAAGATCTCACCAAACTAGCAAGAGAGTGCTGAATAAATCTGCTACATTAACTCATCTCTGAACAGTTTGATATTGTTGATGAAACATGGCCTCTTTTGGCAAGCTTTGTCAAAACTGTTTCTAACAGGTACTGGAAAATCAAATGTCCTTGTGTTTACAGAGAAAAAGGTCAGGGTAACTGTTTTTGCGTACGTTAGTATGTCAGTACTCATTAAGATAAAACCTTTGATGACTAGAAAATCTAATCATTTTAGAGCTTGCAAAATGTCACGTATTTACCTGTAACTTGGAGTACAAGATCTTTCTGTTTGCTTTCATAAATGTGAGGGGAAACACGTTTCAAATATACAGGCTTACCAGAGGCGAGCAAAGGTATTCCACTGTTAAACAAAAGTAGAATTCACCTTCAGATTTTCACCTTGAGAATTTGCCTCACTAACTCAACCTATGAAATTAGTCCGAATATGAAATAGTACAGAAGAGATTTAAGAAAAAAAAGCCACTGTGATGTTCCCGTTAAGGACTCAAAATTTCACTGATTTTAAAGCTACCATTAAAAATGAATGTCTAAAAACAAAGAAGGCTTCAATAAAACTGAGTCATCATATGTATGATGTCTGCATAAATGCCTTTTTCTGATGTAATGAAGGACTAGAGCTTTCGAATAAGGCCTTTCCAAAATAGAAGAGCATAATTTCTGGAAATTAAGACTACTTCTAATAATAACTACCATTTGCATGGCATTTTGCAATTTCCTTAGCATTTCTATGCACTTTTATTTCATTTGAGTCTCACCTTTTCCAGATAAAGAAATAAAGGCTCTGAGATGGTATGTGACTTGCCCAAAGTCAGTGAACTACTAAATGAGGGGTGGGAGAGTGAGGAGATGCCTGTATTTAGAACCCAGACCTTTATTTTCATCTTCTGATTTTTTTTAAGAAATGTATGCTCACTGTATAAAATTTAGTATTTTTTTTTAAATCACTAATAGTTCCACCAACCAGAGATTCCATCATTATGTTAGTAAATTTCCTTCCCAGTTTATGTGGTTTTTCTAAATAAAATTGGCATCAGTTTCCTCAAGCCATATATAATAATAATCTGTACATCTCATTCAGCATTTTAAATTTCAAAACTGAAGAAAAATTTGACTTATCAACGATCTCATTAGTAATAGCAAAATATAGGTGTACTTTATCCTGCTTCAAGGGAGCTTCAGTAAAACCCCATGAAGACTGAAAACCAGGGGATGGTTATCTGCAATGCTAATAAATACTATCGTGTCGAAAAACATAGTTCATTAAGATTTCAGAAAGCCCAGTAGTTCCTGAAAAAGAAAAATTACTGGGGGCAGTGGTGCCACCACTACAAGGGTCTGTTAAAAGAATGCTGATCTAACATTTCACGGAGAACCCATATAATAAGGAATGATGGTGGTTGTGATAGATAATGATAACAACAAACATTTACTGACCACATACCATACGCCAAGCATGATGCTAAGCCCTTAAAATGTACTGTTTACTCCTCACAACAACCTTATGAAATAAGTAATATTGTTTTGTTATTCTCACCTCTCTAAGCTTCTAGACAAAGTTCATTATAATTTTTGCCAAAATAGAAAAATATATGGTATTGGATTGCAGTGGAAATGAATTTGTCTAAATTAACATCATAAAGAGAGACATCTTTACCATTTGATCTCTCTCCCCAGGTTTCCCACCAAACACCCCTCCACGATGCCCTCAGTTAGCTTTCCTAAAACAAAGATCCAGTCACCTTAATCTCTAGCACAGAATGGTGCCCCATTTCCTACCCAGTAAAATACACATTTCACAGTATAGCAACCAACCTCTGACCAAACTGCCTTCTCCCTTCAGTCTTGTCTCCCCCAGCAGCCCCCAGACTACGCCATGTGCCCTGAACTTAAACATGTTTTTATTTCCATTCTTTTATGCTTTTTCAACTTTGCTTTAAATACATATATGTTGCTTGTTGCAGAAATTATACAGATTTGTTAAGTATTTTTAAAGTATAAAAAAGAAATTAAAATATGCTCAAAATCCTACCACCTGGAAGCATCAGTAGAATTTACAGATAATTATTCAGACATTTCTCTAGGCATATTTATAAATAAAAGGACGGAAGAAAGAATGAACAGAGTTTTTTTTAATGAAAATTAGATATTATAGCATGCTTTTAAACAAAAATGGTTACATTAGAATTTACTTGAACTCAACAAAAAAACAACTTTCATCCCAGAGTCACTCTCATTCCCTGGCCCTAGCCCTCTTTTCATGTCATCATACTGGCCTGGCAGAACCACAAACTTGGCTTAAATGCAATTTTCCGCTTCGCCTCTGCACCAGCACCTATACAGCTAAATCCGGTTGGAAACACACATACCCACCCCCGCTGACTGTTTCACTTTAAATTCATGACCCCGAACCTGAAGTGGGCCTTTTCTGCTACTTTCCCGCTCTCCTATTTTCCACATTCTCCTCTCTCCTCAAATCTCTAATATCACCTTCCCATCCTCGTTCTCAGGTGATCTCACTTCTTACTTCACTGAGAACAACTGAAACAATCAGATAAGAGATGATCCACTGACTACCACACCTACTCACTTACCAGCAACTAAACCTGGCCTGTTACCATAGACAAAACATCTGTGTTCCTAGCTAAAGCCTGCCCCTTCTTTAGTGTTCCAGCACCTCGCCTCTCTCTCCCCCCACACCTCTACTGGATCATTTTCATAAGCATACAAACAAGCTATTCTCTGCCCCCTTTAAAACAAAAACTCTTGATCCCATTTCTCCACCACCTCCAATTCTTGTCATTCCATATCCCCTAAACTCACTTCAAGAAGGCCCGTGACTTCACCAAACTGTTCAACAAGGTCGCCCATTCTCAGCACTCATTTGACTTACCCCGCAGCAGCACTCTCTGTGATTCACTTTCCTCACTTGGCTTCCCGGCCCCAAGCTCTCAGGTTCCTCCTCCCTCACTGGCCACACCTCCCAGTCCTTGGAGGAGTCTCCTCCTCTCTCTCAATGTTGCAAACCGCAGGGCTTAGTCCTTGGGCTGGGTTTATCTACAATCACTCCTTCGGTGATCTCACTCTGTCCTACAGCTTAAATTTCATTTATATGCTAACAACTCTCAATTTCGCACTGCCATTCTAGTCCTGTTTCCTGAACTCAGATTTGTACTTGTCTTTGATGTCTATCAGACATCGCAAAATTAAGTGTCTGCTCAAATGTCATCTTCTCAGCAAACTCTGACTACGTTTGCAACTCAAAATTTTCTTTATATTCCCTCTTTTTTCCTCCCCAAGCACATATCACTTACACTACATCACTTATTTATGTCTGGGTACCTCTGCTAGAATATAATCTCCACGAGGGAAAGACACTGTCATCCATTTTGTTCACTGATGTATCCCAAGTGCCTATGATACTGCCTGACACAAGGTCAGCATGCAACATTCATTTGTTAAATATACGAATGCTGATCTTAAAGTAAACGTTTAGTCATTAGTTCTTAACCCTCTAAAGATAGAAAAAATTAATATTATAAAAACAATGTCATCTTTTGCTTAT